AAATACTGTTAGCTTATCGTCCTAACCGGAAGTTTCCGTCATTTGGATCAACGATCTTGAACTTGTAACCCCACCTACGTAAAAGAGTGTTTTTCCAGGTGCATGCCAGTATCAACGCGACTGCCCGATGAACTGCAATGCTGACAGAAAGTCGGAATTCATAACAACAGCGTCAAGGATAACAGTGTGGATTGTAAAAGTTTCACGGTTTCAAGAGGGGAATACAACTTAAATTTAAAAATTTCTCTTAAAGTGTCATTTACTTGCCAATTTCTTCCCTGATATTTTATTTGTATCTTCGAACAAGTCTCACTACGTTCTCAACAACGTGTTTATATATCTGTAAATGTCAGAGATTTAATATTTATATAATTATATGACATAAATTGTTATACGAATATTAACATAACATAAACATTTTAATTATATATGCAAATTAACTGAATTAGATGTGCTTGTATACAAAATAAAACATAGTGATAAATCTGGGTAACTGATCGTTATTTGTGTCTAGTTAAACGTAAAATGTACAAAGATGCTAAAAATCCTTTGATATAGCTAAATAAGTTGTAGCTAAATAATAAACTTTGTCATAATGAATATTATCAATGTTTGTTTATGCCAAAGCGATGCGCGGTCAGCAATAAAATTTAAAATATAAATGTCATACTAATTCCTTCGTCGTTAACGCGTGTAATAGGCATTTATCATTTCAAGGTAAATATAAGGAAAGGGCCAACAAATGGAATTTCTTGCATGTAAGAATTTTTACATGTGGATTTACTTTCATACTCGAGCAAAGTAGTTAATGTTTCTAATAACATCAATGTTTTGTAAACTCTTAGTTTTTCTGCTATATTGCTTACCTTTAATTTTAATATTGTAACAAAATGTCGCCTTACGTTTGTTATTTTACTATTTATTTCTTTTACATGAGACTCTCAATTAGAAATCGCAAATTTAAAACTTATTTTCTTATATTAATTAATTGACAAATTATCCTAATTTACCCAGCTGACTCCAAACAAGATATCTACGTTTACGCGTACGTGATGTTACGCATATATACGCAATAATGCACATACACGTATAAGCCCAGCAGTGAAATAAATGTGCAAATGATCCAGTAAAATGCAAAAATTTCATGATTTATAGGAGGATCTAATCTAATTAAGGTAAAATACTTTATGCTACGGCGTGGCCGCTAGATCTTGAAAGTTATTCGGATCCAGTCTGACCTTTCTCGTTTTATTAGCCACGTCAGCCGAGGTATGCCCCATCATCTCAAGTATATCTTACCGTCTCGTAAAGATACGGATAGAAGCGCATAGCTACGGGGTCCTCCCAGATCAACTGTATCTAGGAATTATGCAAACTGATCGTCTCTACACAACCTTAAATAGCTTCTATTTTTCTTTCCAATCCGTTTCTCCAATAGGTCGACATAGATCTTTTTTCACTTTCTGATTCTCCTTCGATCTCGTTTACATACAAGGAACAAATCATCTATCGCTTTTAAACAATGTTAATCACTGACTAAATTAAGAGCTGCTTAATCAAATGTAATATCGAGAATTAAACAAATAGCACTATTTATTTCATTAAAAAGATACTTTGATAGATATTAGAAGTGCTTGAGTAAATTATTTATTGTCGAACTCATTTAAGTAAATAAAATCTGTCTATCCAATGATCAACATTTTAGTCTCTTAATTATATTTTTAAATAAATTTTTACGATTTGGAAAATAAAGTACAAAATTTACACGTTGCTGCATCTTGCTTCTTTTTTAAAATAGAGACACTATTTTTTATATTCGTTGGATGAAACGATGAAACGAATCCTTTCCTGAATCTTGACATATACTCTAATTTAAAATGTTTAGAATATACATGGATGCAGGAAAATAATAAAGAAAAGTATGTAGTAGCAACGTATAGTGATATAAATTATTATTAATATAACATATATAGATTATTACAGTTTCATAAAGTCAACATATGTAAATAATAAAGTCAACGTTTACTTTATAGAATTCGAAACTTGTACTTTTATTTTATTTTAGTTAGTTTTTCGTGTAATGAGAAATTTATATTCCAATTGTTCTATGCATAGATATTCATAGTCCACGTACTACTATTTCAAGGTAAAACTAAATAAGATTCTAAAAAGAAGTTTCGAGTTCAGTTATGGACATTCAAGTACGTAAGTTAAAAATCTGCTTAAGGATACATTAAAATAAAATAATATATAATATCGTTATTATTAAATTAATAATTGAAATTTATCAATATTTACATATTTTGTTAAAGAAACTCGAGTCTTTAATTCATAAATCTAATTTCTCAACGCAACAGAAAATTATCATAGGCTCTGGAATGGATGTATAAGTACTTTCCTTTGGCAAGAGTACTATACATATTATCTTCTCTCCTTAGACATAACTTGGAGACATAACAACTCTTAAGTTATATTTTCACTGCATCGATGTAAATTCTCTAGAAATCTAAATAAATCAGTTCTTACTCAAATCACTTGTTATTTGATGCTTTTAATTACAGATTACTATTTCTCGGTCATTATATTCGTTGCAACATATAATAAAATAATTATACATATAAGGTGCCGTATAGTAGATGGTGTAAGAATAACATCCTTCCGCTTGGGTCATCAACATTTGAGAAAAACATAGTAAAAAGTACGCAATAAGGCAAAAGATCATTTCTTTTTAGTAATTTCTTCAATTATAACGTTTTAAAATAAACGTATAAATTGCTGAAATTGATAATTTTGCCACCAAAAAAACACGCGTACTTTGACATGTTGCTCCTTTTATCCTTAAAATAGCTCTTTATTCGAGACTCGATTTTTATTCAATTTTTTCAGAATTACCAAAATTCTATCAAACTCCTCGATCAATTGAAAAATCACATATGTGTATGTCGTTATTTGTCTTTTATCTAGGTACTGAAATAATTTGTTAAAAATTGAAGATATTACTTACAGATTATGACAACTATCGTAGCAGCAATATATATATATATATATGTATGTATGTATGTATGTATGTATGTATGTATGTATGTATGTATGTATGTATGTGTGTATGTATGTATGTGTGTATGTATGTATGTAGGTATATAGATTATTTCAGCAAAGTTGGTAACACTTTATACTTAACATTCTCAAAATCTACTTTCTCAAAAACGAAGCCTTAGGCAAAAAGATTTTGTTTTGCATTTTCCCTTTACATTTACATCCTTTCCTTATACCTTTTACATCGTCTTTCATTTCTAAAGTTTACTATCGATTCAATACAATATTACACATTTGAATATTAAGAATGTCGTTACAGCAATTACTGCGAAATAGACAAAAAATAAAAAGATAAAATTATTATTCAACTGTTACAAGTATATTTACATTCAGTTCTACGATCTGCTCACAAATGGCATGTTCATTTTTCCATGCGCACCATATGATATTTCGTTCTTTTCTATATTTTGATGATGTATGAAGTGTATACACCTACAACTACACATAATGTACAGATTAAACAAAATTGGTGGCCTTAGGTGTGGTCTTACTGAAAAGCAATAAGATTGCATAAGCTGTAGACCATCAAGAGCATAGTACAAACGTTACAAATGTGCTCTATCTTGATCACTGGTTTTCGATATTTTAACATTAACAAAATAAGTATTTACATTGAAATTTCATGGAATTACACATTATGCATAGTATATAAATATTATACGTAATAAATGAAAATTTACTCGTTTAAAAAATTTGGTAACTTCATGAGTTTATATATGTAATATATATAATAATAAATCACAGGAAACATAGAAAAGCGATAAAACGTTATTGGTTCGTCGACGTATCTTTGTAGTCATCTATTGCTTTTGTTCTCCTTTATCTCGTCAATATGCATCTTTGACTAAGGGATTTTGCATTCTAAAAGGTATATTTACAACCTAGAAAAGATGTACTAGAAAGTAAGGTTACAATCTTCTATATCTTGGAACGACCTTTTGCTATAACGACTCGAACCCGTTTTAACGACTAATATCGAAATTAAGATACAAAGCGTAGCTCTTATAATTTCAAAATTTTTTTTATATATAACAAGAAAATAAATAATAATAATAATTATTATTATATACATAGGTATCAACAATAATTATATATATAATATATATTATTATGCATATTGTATATTGTACATATATTTATTTATTTATTTATTTATTTATTTATTTATTTATTTATTTATTTATTTGTTTATTTATATTTACTAAATTATGTTTATATTTATTTTCCGTTTTAACGAAATATTCATTCTATAATACCATCTATAATAAAATTCTTATTTAACATACATGTACATTATTATATTCCAATTATACTTTATTTTGCTTATATGATATTGTTATAAAAATAATAGTTTGTTTATCGAAATATAAAACAAGGCCAAATATTGTGCAAAATGATCTTCTACAATACGAATGGAACAAGGCTTATAAATGCCAAGTAATGAAATGCTCATCCGTACTTACTGAGACGAAGCCCACCCTTGTCATAATCTTGTATATTATTGTCATAAATCTTTGATAAAAATTCCAAATTACAGAAATAACGGAAAAAATATGAAATTATTATAAAGTATCAGTCGTAAATATGAAAGTTGTACAAAATACATGATACAGCAGGTCCGACTACGTAATTGCTGATAAATGTCTCGATAAAAGCAATAGATACGCAATAGATATGTAGGTGACAAACAAATTGCTATTGACCGATACCCGTTCTTGAAAGATTTGCGTAAAGAAACATTAATTCTAGCATGTAAGATGATCGAGAACATAACTGAGGTGGGGCAAAATTGTGAGGGCGAGTAACTATGAGGAGAATGGTTAGACATATGAACAGAGGCAATGGGAAGGGAAAATCTTCTTGCGCGTCTTCATATAAATGCTGGCAGTAGGTACTTGTACACGATACTGCAGATTCGGTCTTGCTCAAAGCGACGACACACAGCAACCATCATCATGCAGCGTATAGTGAGTGTTCGTTTTACACGTCTATCAATATATAAGTGATTTAAAATTAAAGTGAACAAAATTTTCAATAAAATAATTCAATAATAAGAGAATTTACAATATTCAAAAATCATAATTATTAATATACATGTATAAATCAGTTCACAAGGTATTGCATTATTTCATTACGTCGCATAAAACTGATTATAGTTTCTTTGCAGTTTTATATTCTTTACCTTAAATAATTAGTTAGTTACATGCGATCTGATCGTGTGGTTATAGAACAAAAATTGTTTTGACAAATTTCGTTTCTCTCGGCGAAATTTCTTTATTTATGCGAAATTATATCATAGCAATATTTGATTATCGTTATCGTTAACAATCGTTATCTTGCACCGTAAATTGTTAAAGTACGATACAGGTTATAGCGATGTAACGTTCTAAAACGATTTTAAAGGTACCACAAGTATTGTAAATCTATTAACAACATGAAATATGCAATCAGACGGTATTTATATAATAAAATTAACAGGCTTTATGGCGTTAACTTGGAAAAGTTGATATTAAAATTGTTGACGATTTCAGTTATTGGCGTTCGCTTTATTTGGCTGCGCTTTAGGACAATATGGTGCATTTCGCGGTTTCCCAAATCAAAATGCTTATCGACCGACACCTAGGCCAGCCTATCAACCAACGGTTCAACCACAATATACACCCCAGTATAGGTATGCATTTACATCATATTACGATTCAACAATACTGTCTAGTAATAATAAATATCAAATATTATACTAATATTCTTGAGCATAACATCTTTTATTTTACAAATATTAATATTCACTTTTTAGTCAATAATGGGACAATTTATAAACATATAGTTATCAAACTGTCGCAAATAAAAAGGCATATAATGACATTAATATAACATATAGCTCTTCTTTTATATTTACGTTTTAAAGATATTACATTTTAAATACACTTGGATCATATTTAAATTTTCGCATAATAGAATACCTATCTCTTTTGCGATAGCCCTGGAAGGTTTATAGCCATACGTAGTCAACAGAAAGATACCTATCCAGATGGAACTTACACGTTCAGTTACGATACCGAAAATGGGATTTCGGTTGCCGAAAGCGGACGACCTCAAGGCACTTCACAGGGACAAAACGAGGTAAGATTCTATCATTATAATATCAATAATTATCCTAAACGGAACAAAAATTAGTTACCTTAGAAAAATACTTATTCTTGCTCTAAACTATATTTGCAATTTTTACTATGACTATGCCGCAAGTAAACAACGTGTATTATTGTAAACATATTATTTATATATTATTATATTATTATTATAATATTATTTTAAAAATGTCATATCACGATGATTGAGAAAAAATTTATTTGTTCACATTGTTTTAAATACAAGTTCGTATTGCGACTAATCATCTGTTTGTATTATATATCAGTAGGATAATTAGTTTTATATGTTGTATAATATATACAATATGAATGAATTCTAAAGCGTATACCTTGATAGGTTGATATCATTGAGTTGTAATTTTCTTCTTTCGCAGGTTGTCCAGGGCAGATATTCATATTCCGCACCGGATGGAACTCCTATCACCGTAGAATATACAGCAGACGAAAATGGTTTCCATCCACAAGGTGCACATTTACCAACTCCTCCTCCTATCCCAGAAGCAATTAGACGAGCTCTCGCCGCTAATCCACCCGGGCCTGATGACTCAGATTATAGGCAACCATATAATCCAAACCTTTACCGAAGATATTAAATAAAATATTAACTAACTAAATGATTTTAAGAACTTCTAAGCTTGCATTTAATCTTTACGGCCTTACATTACGACCAAATGTCTGTACATATATATATCGTATATAACGGAGATACCAAGATTCAAAACTATATAACAGTCACTATACGATAGATGAATAAATCTTTTTTATCTTTTCTCACTCTATTCCATGTCCTTTTGTATTTTTTCCCTTTATTTAAAGATATTTCCTATAAACAGTATATCTTCTTATCACGCAATTCGTTTCTTTAACTTTATTTACTGCTTGAATCATATTTAAGACAATGTTATTTATTATGCAACGCTTAAGTTTATGTAATGTCCATAGAAATTATACGACCATCGTCATAATGCTTCACACCTAGAGCATACTAAAATGCAGGTGTCGTGTAATCTGGAGAAACAAGTGATCTTTTCGAAGTGATAACTTGTTCCTCGTTTATGTTGTATTTAAGAATGTATTAAAATCCAGATGATCCGAGAATCCGTCCAATGTCCGTATTATACAACTCAAATGATGCAAAATATAATAATCTAATAACTAGTAAAATATAATCAGAATTAAAATTACATGTTTGAATAAGCAGTCGTATAAACGCCATAAATTGACTAGCGTACATATTACCTCAACTTTTACTTCCCAAAGAGATTTTAAAGTACCTATGCTGCCATATACAATCATACCCCCTCCTCTCTCCCTCTCTCTCTCTCTCTCTCTCTCTCTCATTCTCTCTGATAAAACTTTGCCAATGCTTAAAACGAGAAAAATATTAACTAAAGACGTACAACGAAAGTAAGAGAAAGAGAGAGTTATATATAAAAAGAATTATATAGAAGTAGAAACATTTTTTACGAATATAAAAACGAAAATAAAAGACATATACGAAAGAATATAAATCAAATAAGAAATGTTTTGTGCTATTGAAAGAAATTACGCTACTTAACGAAAACATCTTTCCACGTGAGGTCCTATTAAGAATAAGAACGAATTGCAAACGCGATTTCTTAATGTAACGGCATCGCCTGTACAAGGTCAAAAATAACTGAAGTCGATTACAAGAAACAAATCAACTTTTTCGCGTGTATTAAGCAATCTGTGGACTCGGTAGCACTCGACACCACTCAATACCAAATTGTAATTATGTGTAATGAACCACAATGAAATACAGTGTACGTATAGTATGACCTGTATATACATAGCTCGTATCTTAATAGTGCGGGAAAGCATGCTAGTTGAACTTCAATTGCACCATGCCTCTGACTGATACGTAAGAATTGCGGTAAAAGAAGAGGGCTGGGATGAATCCAGGTGAAAGCGTTCTATTGGATCTTTCATTATCTTACATTTTTCTACAGATCATCCCGGTCAAGGACTGTCTAACACGAACGATGCAACTTGGGCGGTTCCTACACTTCCTTCGAACGTTCATCCACTAACGATCTTGTGCAAAACGTAAATTCAACTAGAATGCCCCAATTTGTCTAAACATACCAGATATTCGAATGTTATTTTCTGTATTAGGCTCACAAAATTCAAAGAAAGTATATTAACACTGCTCAATTGTGTTAATAGAGTAATGTATTACTTGATATGATAAAAGTTGTATTCGTAAAAATTTTTAATCATATATACGTTACGTACATACTAAAAATCTATATTTATTCTCTCGTGTTCTGTTGACATCTTTATAAAAAATATTAATCTTTTTTATTATTTTTAAAAAATTATTACGTCTTTTTTAAAACTTATACAGATTTCCATATAAACAATTTTTTAAGTGCATCTTCCTTTCTAATACACTCTAATTCTAGACTCTTTCCAGATTGACAATATTTCAAAAAATTAATATTTTATGAAACTTGTACAGAATGTATCTATATGCCCACGAGAGAAAATTAAAATATATAAAAGGTAGAACATGAAACAAATTTTACGTATCTACTTCTATGTACATGAAATCAATTTTGTGTATTTGAAAAGTGTTTCTTTCGTAGGAATCCTACATTCTTTTTATAGCACTAATCAACGAACCTTTTCATACTCTGGAAAAGAAAAAATTACATAAATTATTTGCTCAAAAATTATTACAATTTTAGGTCTTTTCAATTACATTTCTGTTTATCAGTATTCTTTCGCTAACGCATTGTTATGTAGTAGTATTGTATAGCACTACTGTACTGCTATCTACTATCTACTGCTGTATCTACTGTACTATGCAATCTGTTGCTAATATCGATCGGTGTAAGGTGCTATTAGTAAAGTTTCGTTCATTGTCAGAAAATGCCATTATTTTATATATGTCTTGACAAGATACATGTGTGGATCACAACGGACGAAAATACTTTCGACGTCGCAAAGCTATCGTAAGAAGCATCTTAAAGCATCGTAAAGAAACATATTTTAAGTCAAAACATCCAACACCTGCGTGCTTTTAAAAACGTGTTGCTTTATTAAAATTTATTAATAATACGACATACAATGTGTCCGGTTTATCTGTAAACAGTTAAATATCCCGAAAAATGTACATGCAAGATACGAAAAATGAATGGAACAAAAGTTATAGCGTATCAGGTGGCACATATCATGCTTGTGCGATTTATGCGACTTTGAAATGACTCTGAAATACCCTGTCAGCACTGCATTTACATTTTTAAATCCATATTCTTGTAGTTGACGTGAAAACATTTCCAAAACCCTATATACGAATGTATTTTACACAAGACAATTTCGAGATAAGAGCTTTCCCTTAGATACGATAGGAAAAAGAATACATCTTTTTATTCATTTCAAAAAATATTCCCCAACATTTTCCTCATCCATCCTCATTCGTGGATCATCGTGCTGAACCGTCTTGAGCTGCACTACATTACGTTGCATTACATTACATTACTCGCATAAAATCGACTCCTTTTAGTACCACCGTAACGTACAACATCCAAGTGACTAATTTATACCTCGAAATTATCTTGCACAAAATACATTCGTATGTAAGGTTTGGAAGATGTTTTGACGTCAGCTACAAGAATATGTAACAGAGAATTTAGAGATTCGTTAAAAAACTTAATCTCAATCCGCTATGACTTTCGCCTGAATCATTTTTTCGTAGCTTGTATATTTTCCGAGATGTTTAACAGTTCACGGGTAAATCGGATACACTAAAGATATTTCTCTTTCTTTTTAAATAATTCAAAAATAAAATAGGTTCCTGCAATTTGCTCTGTAGAACATTCGGCAGAATGTTTTAGTTATTGAGGATAGTGTTACGCCATGCGGCTTGCCATAGGTCATATTCTTAACCATACTACTCGTCTCAGAAACACACCTCACAATAAAAAGCTACATAAAAATACCGCACTACACCATATACGACACCAAACATCCCTCAGGGAAAGCATACGGCGGGACGGCAGTAGTAATAAAAAACGACATTAAACATCACCTACACAGCCAGGCCAGTAAGGAACATATACAAGCAACCACCGTTACCGTACAGACTAACAGCAACCAACTGCAGTTGTCAGCAGTATACGTACCGCCGCGACACAAAATTACAACGCAAATGTGGGAAGAGTACTTTCGACACTTAGGTGACAAGTACATTGCAGCGGGAGACTATAACTCAAAGCACACACTATGGGGATCAAGAATCACCACACTTCGAGGCAGAACCTTGGAAAAATACATCAGAAATTATAACCTCAATATAATATCCACAGGAAGACCGACATACTGGCCGACAGACCTGAGCAAAATACCTGACATACTAGACTTTGCAGTTACAAAGGGACTAAACGCAAATAGACTAAACACAGCACCCAGCCTCGAGCTTACCTCCGACCATACGCCCATAATAATTA